GCCGGAGGCCGCTCTGGGCCCCTCTGGGCACCTCCCCCGGGGCCGGTTTTGTGAGGATGTCTCAAGCGAGGGCGCCGGTTTGGGATTCGTCACCGGATCCACCGGATCTGTCCGGAAACGGTGCCGGAGGCCGCTCTGGGCTCCTCTGGGCACCTCCCCCGGGGCCGGTTTTGTGAGGATGTCTCAAGCGAGGGCGCCGGTTTGGGATTCGTCACCGGATCCACCGGATCTGTCCGGAAACGGTGCCGAGGCCGCTCTGGGCTCGTGCTCTTCGCGCCGGGGGTGAGGATGACGTGAGTTCCACAGAAACTCCCTCAAATTATCATCGTTAACATCATCAGCAGCACATCATCAGCAACATCAGCAGCAGCATCACCGACAGCATATTCACCAGCATCAGCATCAGCATCATCAGCATCAACATCAGCATGAGCATGAGCATCATCTGCATCATCAGCATCATAATCACCATCATCAACATCATTAGCATCATCATCTCATCATCCGCAGAAACAGCAGCGTCTTCATCCCCCTTCTCCTCCGCCCTCCTCTATCCTCCATCCTCTGTCCTGCCTTTTCCTCCCTGGCTGGATTGGGATGCCCCGTGAGGCCACGCAAATGTAGGCATCCCCCCTCCCTGCAGGTGACCTCAACTTCCTCCTTCCCGTCCACTCACCCTGACGGCGACTCATAAGATGACGACGACGAACGACGAGGAAGACGACATCCCAAGGCCTCCCAAGGTCTCCAGAAGCCTCCCGATGTCTCCGTAAGGAAGGAGCAAAGACGAAAGATGAGAGAGGACGAGCGAGGAGAAAGGAAGGGAAGGACCTAAGATTCAAATTCTGTGCGACTGCACAGCCTGGGTGTAACAAGCCGGCGACGGCGACCGACGACGTAACAACGAGATCACCGAGGACGGGCGACCGTCGACGTCGACGGCGACCGGCGACCACGGCAACAAGACGGCTACAAGACGGCAACGGCGACGGCGACTGGCGGTCGGTGCATATCGCTGCCACTGTATAGCGAGGGGAGGTCGGAGGATGGGGGGAGGGAGGAGGATGTGAACTGTGCTAGTGTGGGCAGACAGGTAAATCCCTCGGACAGAGCTCGACAGGCGAGACAGCTGGGAACCTCCGAGAGGGGAAGGGAAAGGCGAGGAGCAAAGACGGAGCGGGCCAGAAGAGAGGGAGCGCCCCCGTATGCTGCAGTGGCCCCAGGGCCCACTTACCACGCTTCGTCGTCGGACGCGGGAATCATCTTCAGGTCCTGAAAGTCGACGTCGACAGCGAGCACGCCACAGGAGGTGGTGCTCAGGGGTGACCCCCTTCAAGGTGCTCGGTTTCCTTGCAATGGTGGCGGACCAACCAGAGCTTACGCAAGCGATCCCAGCCCACCGACCCACGCGGATAGCCTGCGCAACATTCGCGAGTGAGCTTCTGGGTGTTGACTTCACTGCAGGGCCCACAACACCCACATACCGAAAACGAACGACCCGACACGGTGGCCTTACCCCAGACAGGCACGGGGACATGCTCATGGTCTGGAGCTTCGCACCCGATCTCAGACAGCGAACGCAGCGGAACCCTCCTGTGGGGAACCACGAGGGGGTCGTGGCGATCCTTGGGAGGTGGAGCATCGCCTGAGAGATGGGGGACGATCGTGCGCACCCTTCTGCACCGAACCCTTGTGGATCAGATCATGAGATCGCTCGACCCTGGTCTGGGCGAAGCCATTCCTGAGATGCATCGGTGATGCCTCGCGGGACGTCACGTCGGCCGCACGGTTACCTAGGCGCAAAAACCTGGCACCATCAACACAGTCACCATCGCCCCCACAAGCGCATGACCCCTGACTGAGGACGGAGGAGGATGGGGGAGGAGGCGGGGGAGGTGGAGAAGGAAGCGGGAGGAACAGGAAGGAGGAGGAGGAGGAGGAGGAGGAGGAGGAGGAGGAGGAGGAGGAGGAGGAGGAGGAGAAGGGAGCAGTAGAAGGAGGGGGACGATGGATGAGGAAGCAGCAGGAAGGAGAGAGAGGGAGGGACCATAGGCGCTTTGATGCCTCGGGGGTCCGCCTCGCTCGACACATCCCCACAGTCTGGCCGCCTGGGGTGCTGCTACCAGCGCCTCACTCGGGACATCCTCGCAATCTGTTCTTACAGCATCGAAGTCCAGGCCACCCGGCAGGCAACCCGCCCGAGGCAGCCCCACGATCTGGCCGCGAACGGGGGAGTGTCATGTCCCATGGCGCCTCCCCCCTGGGATGCTGAAGCCCGCGCCAGGCTCGAGACATCCCCGCACTCTGTCCCGACAGCGCCGGAGCCCAAGCCACCAAGCATGCAAACCGACCGAAGCGTCCCACAATCTGGCCGCGACCGGGCGAGTGCCATGCCCCCCGGCGGCTCCCTCTTGGGGTGCTGCTGCCAGCGCCACGCTCGAGACGTCTCCTGGTCTGGGTACGGCCCCGCTTGGGGCCCTCCACGTGTGACCCAAGATAGCCCTGGAACCGATGCTCCAATATAACTCCTGTGTGATCGCACTGGGCAGCACCTGCGCGCGGCAGGAGGTGATTCTTGAGGACTCGGCCACGGTGCAAGCCGGCAAAAAAGCCTGGCGCACAAGCAAGAGGCCCGAGCAAGCAGTTGTCCCTGGCCTCTCCGCTGCACTGAACAATCGGGGCTGTGAATATGCTCGCTCCTCACTCGCGCCTTTGCGCTCCTCGTTCCTCGCTCCTCTTCTGCCTCGCGCCTCCCCTGGAGGAAGAAGCACCAGCATAACCATAACAATTGAACACTGCCTCCAAGATGCCCCCCAGGCCTCCCACGAGATCCCAACGTACGTCCAATTGGCTTCATACCCACAACCCAGGCACGGTGGTGGGGTGGGCCGAAGGCCATTAGAAGACAAGAAAGACAAGGGTGGAGGGCGCTTCCTTTTCAAAATCAGATTATCACTTGAGCCATCTTGCGGCTAGCTAGTTCACACGAGCTGAAGCTCAACCTCTGCACTGGCCACGCGGATGGAGGGCGGCCCGTTTTACAACTTAGCGGGGTCATTTGGGGGAGGGTCCCAAGGGGGAATCCGACGGCGGACTCCCATGGTGGACTCCTCCGGGGGAGTCCCATGGCGGAGTCCTACTGGGATCCGACCCTACTGGGATCCTCTTTGAACCCTATCAGAATCCGATCGGATACGATTGGGATCGTACTGGGTTCCTGTTGCAACCCTCTTGGGCCCTCATTGGAATCCGATTAGGGTCTTGTTAGAATCGCATTCGAATCTTGGTGGGATCCCGCACTGAGGAGTCCAGGGGCGGGAAAACACTCACAGGGGCGAGGAGCGATACAGTCTCGCCGACGAGGGGGAGATCGAGACTCGCTTCCCAAGGTTACTGAAGGCAGTAGGCGCCGGGGGCTCCAGCAGACCCCTCTCCCGAGAATCGCTGCCCGACGGCCCCGCGTCGTGTGCAGCCCCCGCAGGTTCCCCACGCACGGCCAGGCGGCCAGAGTCGGCGGAGAGCCCGCGGGGGAGGTGAGACGGCCCGCGGAGGAGCCCCGCCGCCTCTGGAGAGGGCCTTCTCCGCCTCACGCACCCCCCTCGCTCGCCGCCGACGGGAGGACTCGAGGGCCTCGGGCCGGCGGAGGGCACATCCGCCGATTGCCCGGGCGCCGCCGCCGCAGGTGCACGGCACGGCACGGCGCCCTCGGCTGGAGGCCCGGCCCGAGCTCTTCAGAAATGCAACCGGGAGGTGGTCCCAAAGCATTCACAAGGCAACTTGTAAAACTTAGCGGAAGCAGTCGGCCACGACTGGTTTAAACCACGCTAGGGTTCACACAGATGGTTGATTCTGGAGACCATGGGTCCAAAAATGTTGGCGTCTCGCTTTGCGTCGGCTGACTTTCCATGGCTCTCCGCCACCGTCTGCTGGCGTTCTACCTCCGCCGACTTCCGCCCGCCTTCTCCGCTGGCCGCCGCCGACGGCGAAACGCGCCGAAGGAGAGCCGCTTCTCGAACGCGCCACACGCTGCTCTCTAGCGGCCGTGTGAGACGATCTTCAAGGGGCCCTGGGACACACAAATAAATAGACACAAACAACAGGATTCCCAATGTTTTCAAATACTTTCTGGGTTTCCCGTCTTCCCCCCCACTTCCCATATCTTCCCATATGTTCCTGGGAGCCGGCGATGAATTGTGTCTGTGTGTTTTTCCCCTCCTGAGATCTGGACACGCCCGGAACGCCCTCGGCCAGGCACAGCTGCTGGAGAGCATCCCGGGGCTGGAACGCCGCCGAGAATCGACGGAAGCGTCTGGAAACCTCAGAGGCCTCGAACGTCGGGCCGTGATCCCTGGACCTCTCCTGGGGTGCGATCTGCCTGGGATTTCGAAGCGGATCCGCCCGTGGCCACGAGGGCGCCCCAGGACGACCAACCCCCCCCCCCTCAAAGCGAGCGTTGCCCCTGCCATGGCTCATGTGGTTGCATGTCCTACCCCCTTCTGGGGAGAAGCAGGACCCCCAGATGCCATCACCGCTGTTCCACGGACCCCTCCTGGGCGAATCCAGCCCTGGCGACGAGGGAAGGGCAGCGGTATCGATGTAGAAGCAAAAACAAACACGCCATGAACATAAACTTTTGGCGTTCCGCGCGGATTTCTTGGATCTGCGCTGTACCCCCCTCCCTGGCGCGCGGATCGCGCCAGTGGCGGCACCGGAGGCGCCGCCATGGGGCCACAGCGCAGATCCAAGAAATCTGCGCGGAGAGCCACAAGTTCATGTTTTATGGCGTTTTTCTTTTTTTCGAAATAGATTGTTCTCCTCTGAGCTGCAGCTGTCCCACCTCCTCCTCCTCCTGCCCTCCTCCTCCTCCTCCTCCTCCCCTCCTCCTCCTCCTCCTCCTCCTCCTCCTCCTCCTCCTCCTCCTCCTCCAACCTCCTCCTCCTCCTCCTCCTCTTCCTTTTCCTCCTCCTCCGATGCAGCCAGGGGGAGGGGGGGGGAAGCGCCTGGCAGCACCACGGTCGTGCCCGCCTCCGACTCGCGTAGCGGCAGGCCCACCGCCCGACGGGGAAGCGTTCCTCCGACGGCCGCCAGTCGCAAACGGCACTGGGGGGAGGAGGAGGAGGAGGAGGAGGAGGAGGAGGAGGAGGAGGAGGAGGAGGAGGAGGAGGAGGAGGAGGAGGAGGAGGAGGAGGAGGAGGAGGAGGAGGAGGAAGAAGGAGGTGGTGGAGGAGGAGGGGGAGGAGGAGGAGGAGGAGGAGGAGGAGGAGGAGGAGGAGGAGGAGGAGGAGGGAGGAGGAGGAGAAGGAGGAGGAGGACGAGGAGAAGGAGGAGGAGGAGAGGAGGAGGAGGAGGAGGAGAGGAGGAGGAGGAGGAGGAGATGGAGGAGGAGGAGGAGGAGGAGGAGGACGAGGAGGAGGATGACAAAGAGGAGGAGGAGGACAGGATAATACTGATGAGGAGGAGGATGAGGATGATGGTCATGATCATGGTGGTTTTGGTGATGGTGATGACGACGATGATGATGATGCTGGTACTGATGCTGATGCTGCTGCTGATGATGATGTTGTCGTTGATGATGATGATGATGCTGATGCTGATGCTGATGCTGATGATGATGATGATGATGATGATGATGATGACGATGATGATGGGGCCATAACGGTCTGGGAGCGGTGCTCGGTGCAGCCGCTATAAATTAACATGCACACCCACGGAGCCTTCGGGCCCCGCCGAGGAGGGGAGGGAGGGGGAGGAGAGCGCCTTGTGGCGCTCAGCAGCTCGGGCCTCCAGCCTCCGAGCCGCGCCCCCGCAAGCGGCTACGCGGGCGGCTCAGTTGCTCGGGGCGGCCCCCCCCGAGCTCGGCGCCGGCGCCTCCCCGCGTGGGGCGCCGCCCCTGCCGCACCCCCCTCGGCGCGGCGGCCTGGCGGGCGCTGGCTCCTCCCGCGCACGGGCCGCGGAGCGAGATCACGCGGGCGCCGTCCGCGTAGCACCCGCAGACCGCGCAGACGACGAGGCGGCGCGGCCCCTCGCCGATCGTCCAGAGTCGGTGCGACCCGTCGAAGCTCACGTTCCACCAGCGTGGGCGGCCGCTCTCGGCCTCGGCGCCCGCGGCCTCGCCGCCCTCCTCCGCGTCGCCGTCGGCGTGCTGGGCGCCCCCGCGCGCCTGGGCCGCCGGCGCCGCCGCTGCCATCGCGCCAGCGACGGCGGCTCCCACGCCCTCGGCGCCTCGTCGGCCCGCGCTCGCGGTGGTCCGCGCGCGGCCGCGCCGCGCGTCGGCCTCCTGGCCAGGGGCCTGGCGCTTCCGCCCCGCCGCCCGGGGCCCAGGCGGCCCGCCGTGGACGGGCGCGCCTCCCGATCGGCCAGCGCAGGCGTTGCAGAGCCAGCGCGCCCCGATCACGTCCGAGACCGCCGTGCCGTGCGAGGCGCAGAGCCAGCGTCTGCGGCCTGGCCCGCCGTCGCGGCAGCGCGCGGCGCCCCGCCGCCCGCATCCGCGCCCGCATCGGCCGCCGCGAGGGCAGCGTCCCCCAGCTGCAGCGCCTCGCCGAGCCAGCGAGCCGTCGCCGCCGCGATGGCGTCGGCCAGCTCGAGGCGCTGCACCGCCGCCTCGCACGCGGGGTGGAGCTCGGCGCCCTTTTTGGCGAAGCCGTCCGCCGCGCGGTTGCCCTCGTAGTGGCCGATCCCTGTATAGCCGTCGCGGGCCGAGCGGGGCGTGGCATGCCCTAGGCTTCCCCGCCCAGTCCCCTTCCCTCTATTCGAACTGGCCCTCGCCAGGACCGCAACAGGAATCTGCGGCAGCAGAAGGTTGAGATGTGGTTCGTGTCTGTTTTCCTCCGGCCCAGGACTCACCGCGTTCACTGGCACGACTCCTCTGGCGGTGAGCTTCTGCAGCCTCGTGCTCGTCCGCGGGCGGTCGCACCTCGCGGTCTCTCCCTGTCTCTCTCTCTCTCTCCCTCTCTCTCTCTCTCTCCCCCTCTCTCTCTCTCTCTCCCTCTCCCTCGAGAGGGCCTCGGGGCGTAGGCCCCGTCACCACGTGCCAGCTTTTCCAGGCTCTCGGTGTGCTCTCCCATCGGGTTCCCGATGACGGACCCTGCTCCACGCCCGCTGAAGTTCATCGCCAGGATCCCAAGCTTAGGCGGCTCCGCGGCCCTCGACTTCTTGTAGCGAAACTGCTTCGCATTGAACATTACCATCGTCCTAATCATCAGCATCCTCCTCCTCCTCCTCCTCTTCCTCCTCCTCCTCCTCCTCACCATCACGAGCACCATTATCATCATCATCATCAGCAGCAGCAGCATCATCATCAACATCATCATTCTTATGATTATCATCCTCATCAACATCAGCAGCAGTCACATCCTCTTCCTCATCCTCCTCGTCCTCTTCAAATTCCTCATCATCAGCAAGATCATAATACTTAATCACCACCATCACCATCATCCCTCTTCCTCCTCCACTGCATGGTCCATCTTGCGTCCCTTCCTCCCTCGCCTTCGTCTTTGTTCCTTCGTCTCCTCCTCCTCCTCCTCCTGCCTCTGCTCCTCCTAATCCTTTTCCTCCTTCTCCTTTTCATCTGCATAATCCACACCATCGATCACCACCACCACCACCATCAGCAGCAGCAGCATCATCATAATCAGCGTCATCAGCATCATCAGCAGCAGCAGCAGAATCATCATAATCACCATAATCACCACCACCACCAGAGTCACATACTAAGCATCATCGTCCTCCTCCTCCTCCCTCCGCCCCCTTCTTCTCCCTCCTTCCCTGTGTTCCTCCTTCCTCCTCCCTCCTCCTTCCCCTCATCCTCCTCCCCCTCCTCCCTCTCCTCCTCCTCATCCTCCTCCCCCTCCTCCCCCTCCTCCTCCTCCTCCTCCTCCTCCTCCTCCTCCACCGCCTCCTCCTCCTACGACGATGATGACGACGACGAACGACAGACTCCCGTAGAGTCCTCGGCCGCCCTGGCGGCGCCCGCGCGCCTGGCGTGGAGCCGCGAGCCTGGGGCCGGGCGCCGCGGAGGGGGCAGGAGTCGGGGTGCGCCCCCGCAGGGGGAGGTTTTCATGTTTACACGTCGGTCGGAAGAAGCAGGTAAAAACATGAAGTAGGAAAGCGGATTAAGTTGATTGGGTCCAGGCCCCCGCAGGGAATAACAAAACACAGCAAAAGCGTGTCGATTCTTGAATGGGGAAGGCGCTTGAAGTAGATTGGGATCTGGGAATCCAAAAATACCTACTTTCAACGACCAGTGTGTAACATCAACGAGGGGGAGGTTTTTCCCCAATCAGTGCTTGCACTGAGGGGGTCCTAGCGGAAGTTGAAAGATTTGGCGAAAGTTCCCGCCGAATTTGGTAGCAGGCTGGGTTCCCAGGTTCCAGGTTCCCGGGTTCCTGGTCATTGGTTCCAGGCCGATTTCGATGGGTTCTGGGTTCCAGGGGTCCAGGGTTCCGGGTCGATCTCCTCAGCGAAAACCATCCACTGATTGGGGCTTTCCTCTGGTGAAATTATTTTCAACACCAACCTCTGCAGACCCTCAGCAAGAGGACCTCCTACCGCTCCGTCTGGAGAGCGACTCGGACAGGCTGACCCACACATAGTTCATTTCTCATCGTGCCCATTTCTGATTGCGCTCGGTTCTGATTGTTCCTGCCCCCCCAGTGGCCAGGAAGAGGCCCAGGATGGAACAACTAGAAATGAGAGGATATCTTGGCCCCCCCAAGAAAACAAAGAACTTTCGAATAATTAGAAATCAAGGGCTCCAAACTTCGCGCTTCACGCTGCGCGAAGCGCGAAATGCGAATAACTTCGTGCTCTCGCGCCGCCTCCCAGGGGAGAAGGGGAGGATGAGGAGGAATCGGAGCCGAACCGCGAAGCGCGAATAACTTCGCGCCCTCGAGGACGCCCTTGGAAGTGAGCAATGCGTACACAGAGGTCAGTCCGAGTCGCGGGACTACTGGGCAGCGTCGGCTGCACACGGCGCTGCCCAGAGTCCTGAGCGCCGCGGCAGGGCGCACAGGTCGGGGCCTCGAGGAGGCGAGAGGGGAAGAGGAGGGAGGCGATAGGGTTAAGTCGGGCCTGTCCCCCTACAGGGGGATTTTCGACGAAAAATCAAAAGTACTCAAAACATTCTCAACAGATGCCCAAAGATAGTCCCCAGACTATTTTTTCAGTATTCTTGAATTTTCCCCCTGTAGAGGGACAGGCCCGACTTAGCGATAGGGAGGGATGGAACGGAGGGGAGAGGGCGAGGCCTCCGTCGGCAGGCGGTGGGCGAGGAGTACGAGTTCTGGGTGCTCTGAGGCTGCCTGCCGGACCACCCCAGCCCAACCCGAAGACCCGAAGTTGACCCGGATTTCGGCGGGTCGGGGGGGGGGGGAGTACGGGTCCCATGCGTTTTTTCAACGTTCCAGGGCCCCCCCCCCCGATTTCAAATGGAAGGCAACTCAGGGTTGGGGCAGTCGAGTTGGGTTGGGGTGGTTTTGCGGGTGGAGCCTCTGGGGGGGGCTCAGGGACCCTCAGATCTGGGCGTCGCAAGCACGAGTCGTGACGTGACGTGACGGCCCGGTTCTGTTCAGCGCTCTGCTCCCCGGAGACCGTTGTCCTGCACTCGGGGCTGCTAAAAGACGGCTCGGGATGAAAAGCGAGCCCCCTCGGACGGTCGGGATCAGGGGGGGGGGGGGGGGGGGCACCTCACGAAAAAACATGCGACATCGGAGGAGAGGGAAGGAGGAGGGAGGGGGCATCCTCATCCCTCCTCCTCCTCCTCCTCCTCCTCCTTGTCCTCCTGCCCCCCCTCCTCCTCCTCCTCCTCCTCCTCCTCCTCCTCCTCCTCCTCCTCCTCCTCCTCCTCCTCCTCCTCCTCCTCCTCCTCCTCCTCCTCCCCCTTGTGACTCCTGCCTCCTGCCCCCACCCGGATCCGAGATCCGCCCAAGACCTGTCCCCGGACAGGCGCCCAGAATAGCTGAAATCCGCCCGCAGACAATCGAGCACGGAGAGGAACAAGGCTTGGCCGCGCTGCCCTCCCCCCCCCCGCCCCAGAAAATGCCGAAACTGGGGAAACGGGTACAACAATAATGAG